TGCCTTAGCCACTATGCTACCAGAGCTCCCTCAATACTAGCTATGCTTTAGTCCACAGTTGCATCCATTGTGTCATTTAATCCCATTGACACTTATTTTTGGCTGACCCTCTATTTTACTAAGCATGATATCTTTCTCCAGGAAGTGATACCTTCTGACAACATGACCAAAGTAAGTGAGACAAAGTCTGGCCGTTGTAGCTTTGAAGATGCATTCTCGCTGAACTTCTTCCTGGACAGCTTTGTTCGTTCTTCTGGCAGTCCATGGTATGTGCTTTCAGTATTCCTCACCAACACTACAATTCACAGATATTGATTATTTTCTGCTCTTTATTCATTGTCCAGCTTTCATGTGCTATTTAAAATATCATAGCTTGGGTCAGGCACAGCTTCGTCTTCAAAGTATCATCTTTGCTCTTTAACACTTTAAGAAGCTCTTTTACTGCAGATTGGACTAGTGCAAGATGACTTCTGATTTCATGACTGCTGTTCCATGGGTGTTGATTGTGGATCCATTTAAAATGAAATTTTTGACAACTCCAACATTTTCTCCATTTATCATGATGTTGTTTATTGATCTAGTTGTGAGGTTTTTTTTGTTTTGTTTTGTTTTGTTTTTTTTCCTTTATGCCTAATGCAATCCATAATGGAAAATGTAGTCTGTAATCTTCATTGGTAAATGTTTCAAGTCATCTTCACTTTCAGTAAGCAAGGTTGTGTCACCTTCATACAGCAGGTTGTTAACGAGTCTCCCTCCAATTCTGATGCTGCATTTGTCTTCATGTAGTCCAGCCTCACAAATTATTTGCCCAGCATAGTGCCTAACGCATTTGACTGCTAACCAGAAGGCTGACGGTTCAAACTCACCAGCCACTTCTCGGAAGGAAGATTGGGCAATCTACTTCTGTAGTGATACTGCCTCAGAAACTCAAGGAGAGGTCACTATGAGTCAGATCTGACTTGATGGCAGTGAGTTATACATATTGCTTAAGTATAGTGAAATGACCCAACTCTGACACACATACATCTTTATTTTAAACAATGCAGAAACCCTTTGTTCTGTTTGAATGATAGCTTCTTTGCCTAAGTACAGGTTCCTCATGAATACAATTAAGTATTCTGGAGTCCCCATTCTTTGCAATGTTATCCATTATTTCTTATAATCCACATAACACAATACAGTTGCATAGTCAATAAAACACAAGTAAACATCTTTCTTATATTCTTTGCCGAGATCTCTCTGACATCAGCAAATATATCCCCCATTCAATATCGTCTTCTTAATCCAGTTTGAATTTCTGACATTTGCCTGTCAATATACTACTACAACCATTTTTCAATTCTCTTCAGCAGAATTTTACTTGTGTGTTATATTAATTATATTTCTTTGATAATTTCCACATTTTGTTGGCTCACCATTTTGGGGAATGGGCACAAATATGGATTTCTGCCAGAGCATTGGCCAGATAGCTGTCCTCCAAATTTGTTGGCATACATTTTAAGAACCTTGACCATTGCATTCCATTGTTAAAACATGTCAGTGGGTATTCCATCCATTCCTAGAGCCTTTTTTTTTTTTTTTTTTGCCAATTCTTTGAGTGCCATTTGGATTTCTTCCTTCAATTCCATTGGCTCTTGACCATATGATATCTCCTGAAATGGTTGAATGTCAAACGATTCTTTTAGATACAGTGAATGTGTATATTCCTTCCATCATCTTTTGATACTTCTTGCATCATTGAACATTTTGCCCATAGACTCCTTCAGTATTGCAACTTGAGGCTTGAATTTTTTCTACAGTTCTCTCAGCTTGAGAAATTCTAAGTGTCTTCCATCCTTTTGGTTCTTTAACTCCAGGTCTTTGAATATTCCATTATAGTATTTTCTTTTTCTTCTCAAACTGGCATTTGAAATCTTATATTTAGCTCTTTTGTTTCACTATTTCTTCCATTTGATTTAGCTACTTTATGTTCAAGAGCAAGTTTCAGACTCTCATGATATCCATTTTGGTCTTTTCTTCCTTTCCTGTCTTTTTAATGACCTTTTGTTTCTCCATGTATGATGTTCTTTATGTCATCCCACAACTTGTCTAGTCTTCAGTCATTAGTGTTCAATGTGTCAAATCTGTTCTTCTGATGGTCTCTAAATTTAGCAAGGATAAAATCAAGGTAACATTTTGGCTCTTGTTGACTTGTTTAATTTTCTTCAGCTTCAACTTGAACTTGGATATGAGCAATTGATGGTCTGTTCCACAGTCAGTTCCTGGCCTTGTTCTGATATTGAGCTTCTCCATTGCTTCTTTCCACAGATGTAGTCTATTTGAGTCCTGTGCATTTCATCTAGAGAATGGCAAGTATATAATTGTCATTTATGTTGTTGAAAGAAGAAGGTATTTACAACAAATAAGTGGCTGGTATTGCAAAAGTCTATCATGAAATCTGGGACCTCTGGTAGCATAGTGGCTAAGGCACTTGACTGCTAACAAGAAGGCTGGCAGTTCAAACCCTCCAGCCACTCCTCAGAAGGAAGATGGGGCAATCTACTTCTGTAGTGATACTGCCTTGGAAACCCAGGAGGGGTCGCTATGAGTCGGGTCTGACTC